GTAGATGAAGTTTATGGCTTGCTCTATTTTATTATAGGAGGGTGGCTTGTTGGGCTTAAACTGTAACAGAACGCACTTAGATGATTCATATCTTTTTAACATTGAAATACTATCCAATATATTAATATAATAGAAAGGATGTATGTGTGTGTCATCTCTGTCACAGCAATCACAAGCCCCGTGCATGTTCTACGTTTATTACATCCTGTATCATTCTCAGGATGACCCATGTGCCTCAAGGGAGTTTGTCATGCTGTGGGTCCTGCTGCCACCTAATGGGGGTGAGCCCAACCTTCACCTTTTGTGCTAAAAAAAAGGGGGAGAAAACCAGTTCCGAAGCTCCTGTCTGAGCAGAGCAAACAGCTAACAGTACTAAATGCTTTAATTTTTAGAGTCTTAAAAATCTTGGGAAATTTAAGTTAATTAAGCTTAGTATTAATTAGTAGGATTTTTGTCCTGCACAAGCCATCTAGAGTCATGTATAGTAGCGTAGTTAGGGGCTTGATACCATGTTCCATGTGAAGGTGCCAGCCCAACACTAAGGGTTACCCAACCGTGGGGTTTTTTTTCTGAAGTGCAAAGCAAGTAGGTCGTACTGCCAAGGAGCCTTGGGGGCCTCTGCACTCAAGACACCCTCAAATTACTGTGGTAGCTGCAGAAATACTGGTTTTAGCTTGCAGGAAAACAGTGCAAATGAACCTTGTCTGCCGCAAAACCGGTTGGGTTGGACAGAGGCACGTAAATATGCTTTTATAGAGATATAATAATATAAATATAGATATGGATGAGCCCTAGGTCAGAGAAGACTTGGCTTTGAAAATGCTCATAGGTCTTGGCATATGCTGAAACGGGGCAGATGAGCTGCAGGGACCAGTGACAATCGCTCCCAGCGCCCTGCCACGCTGCCCCGATAACCCACCGCCCCTCCCGAGCGGTCATCCAGGCCACCGAGTCAAATTCATCGCCGACTTTCTTTCTTCTCCTCTGAGCCACTAACTCTGTATCAAAGTGAACATCAGGTTAGCTCTGTATTGTTTTAGGCGCGTGGTTGCAGAGAACCAAAGCAGCCGTGAGCTGGCCCCCAGCACTGCCAGCGCAAAGACCCGCCTGGGTTAAGGGGTTGACAAAACACGACTGTTCTCGTGCTCTTCTGCAGCAGCAAGTCCTGCCCCACTGACCTGACCCTGGCTCCCGAGACGGCTCCCTGGCTTGGTTCCTCAGTACCCGTTAGATTTAGATCTGGCTGTTGATGACTTCTTCCTGACCTCAAAACCTTCCGTAAGGTTTCCGTTGATATTTTTTGGCCTGTTCCAACATGAACCAGGTTCACTGAGTCCCTGGAATTGATTTCCTGGGGAAGAGTTTTCTTTGGTTTCCTGGGGGAGAGGTTTCTCTCTTTCCAATTTAGGTGCTGGAAGAGGAAATAATGATAGAATAAAAGCAAATGGAGGCTCTGCAGATGTATGTTAACTAAAGCCCAGTGCTTTAGGCTGAATGTATCTCTCACTGGGATATTGCACGGACAAGCTAATAAGTTTTATACAAATACCCACCAATCCTATTCTATGGGATTTGATTGCATATATGCTAATAGCTAATTCAGCTGCCAGTAGCCAAATAACTGCCTGTCATTTATGACAGAGCCAGGATCCCCACATTAACCAGAACTCTTTTTGATTAGTTTATTAGAGCATTTATTAGATCATTGCCCCTTCTCAACAGACAAAAAGGAAACCCTCTTAAAACCTCCCACTGGCTAGGGGTGCCAGGTTTAAAGCTGCGTGGAGACAGCGAATTGGGTTTCACCGAGCACTTAAACATTTGGTTTTGTTCGGATGAGGAACAAGAGCTAAACAGCCCTGCAAAGTCAGCTGCAAACTCCAGCTGTGCTGGGATTTGGGCGGAGACCACCGAGAGGGTCGATCCGGCGGACGCAGGGATGCGGCAACCGAGGACCCGAGCGGCTGACGGCGACGGTGGCTCCTTGAGCCCTTCCCACGATCTGCTGCCATCTCTCTCACAGCATCCCTGTAACACAATAAAACCCAACCACCACCACCACCACCAGTCTCACTGGCGTTCCTCCAGGCAGCTCTGACACTCCCCGTTCAGTTATCTGTGTGTGGCTTCTATTTACGGCTGTACTTTCTCTCCCCTCCTCCATCGCTGTTTGGAGGGTCCAAGTAGAAACACATTGGAGGGCTGAGGGCTACGCCAATAGTTTTAGCTTCTTTTGCTCGCATTTCATCAGCGATCTCTGCAATGCGGAGCCAGGATTTTTCAAGCAAATGCCTCTCCTCTGCCAAATACTGTTTTAAACAGACAACTGCCCCGAGGCTTGCTTTTCTCTAAAGGAAATTATACTGCAGCCCGCTGATTCCTCTTTACCATCACCATCCTCCAAGGAACCACGGGACCTTATTTCAGCTCTGCTACTGTACCTCTCACTCCTACGCAGGACTACCACCAGCCTACACGAGCACCAGCTCCAGGGCTCAGCCTGTTTTTAGCTGTTGAAGGCACCAGCCAGGGTACGCGGTTACACAGAACACGTATCGCCTTGAGACACAGATGCACCTAGTGAAACAACAACATTTTGTCTTTATTAGGAGTTCCCATGGTAATATAACACAGAGTTCTTAAGGAATAAAACACAAGACTTGGGGTTGGGGTGGGTTTTTTTTTTTTTGCCATTGAGACAATGGTCAAATATCAGTACTTCTTTTTGTCTACACACATGATCAGCTTTAGCACTTACAGCTCCTCCACTCATGGTTCACAATCACAAATCCAAGGGTTAAATCCAGCTAGTATTAAATCCTACTTTTTTTTTATTTTATTTTTAGAGCTTCAAGTCACTGCGGTTAATTAATTAATTAAGTCATCGTCTTTTTGCGGACGAGCTCTCACAGGAAAAAACATGCTTACATAGCCTGCAAAAATCTTTTTTTGTGATTTTTTTTTTTTCCTTTTGAAGAACAAATTAAAACTAAAAAGTCATCATGAGTCAGTGAAGGAAAAAAAAAAAAAGGAAGACTTAAGTGAATACTGAAGAGCCGCAAGTGTTTCGCAGAATTGAAACGGATCTGCAATTCTTTTTTTTTTTTTTCTCCCCAACTCGTTCGAATTGATTTTAACATACAGGTGAAAAAAAAAAAAATTAAAAAAAAAAATAGCTGCAATATATATTAAGTTCACGGATTACGTAACAAACAAAGTGCAAACTCTTTTATGCAAAACTAAAAGACCCAAGAGTTAAACCGAAATGCAAAATGCGTGGATGAATATGGCAATGTTTTTCTTAACTTTCGTGTTCAAAAGGGCCTAAAGGAATGAGGTGCTGAAGCTGGGAGGGTTTGGGTACCTAAGTAGCTTCCAGATCCTTTGCAAATCCCAGCATTGATACTTCGTAACAACAAATTTGGTACTTGTCTCTCAAAAGCCTTCATATATATAGTTTTTTCCCTAAAAGAACCTGTAAACACCATTTAAGAAAACACTCACAAATGTGAAAAAACAAGGTCAATGTACGTGGCAAAGTACAAATAGAAGAGAAAGCAGAAGATGCAGCCAAGTGCCAGGGCATGCAGAGAGTGGAGGTAACGCTGTGTTCACTGCGGGTAGAAAAGCTCTCTGGGCTAAGAGACAGGCCAGGTCCGTGGGACTGCCCAGCCCTCCAGATGAGTTTAAGTGGGAATCTAACGGTGCAGATTTATTCTCCACGTCCTGAAAATAGTGACCCTCCAATACCAAGGCTAAAAGACCTTCAGTCCCAAGATCCCGCTCACTGCCACAGAAGCTGGGGCTCCTAAACTCCTTTAAGGACCACTCGAGACCTCTGGTTGCTCCAATCTGAGGCAGCAGGCATCGGAGGAAGGGTGGGGAACCACCAGGCCTTCTCACGAATGTTTGCACAAAGGCAGATTCCCGAAGGAACGAGCGACTGTGAAATTCGCCACCACGTACGAGAGATTCTCAGCTGCTGTTGACCCGTGGAGCTGCTCCGAGGCTCCCAGTTACAACAGCTGGGCATCTGGACTCGAACTGGAATGGCCGCAGATGCTCGGGCACACCCTCAACTGACCAGCCTTCCGGCCAGAGCCAAAGATAAGCTCTTGTAAAGTTTTAAATAACCACTTGTTGGCGGCCAGGAAGGGGGAACACGGCTGCTACAAAGATCTTACAAGCAACATGTTGCTCTTCACCCACGGCCCCATGCTTATCCAATTCCACCTCCAGGAACAGCAGACAAACTAACCACTAAGAACTTCTCAAGAGACTCTGTCCCAGCTCCTCAGCTGGTATCCAGCCCCTTTGTTTGCACCACCTCGGGTACACCGAAGATCATAGCTTATGAACCTGCTCCGTGGCCTCGCATTGCAGCTAAGTGGCAAGTGTTGGCTGGAATGACGCAACCTAGGAACACCTGAAGTACCAGGGGGGCAGTGGCAGCGACACTGGCGGGAGTCTGCAACTTGAATGAGGTTTGGGAAGGACCAGAAAGAACAGGGAGATTCCCAGTTCTCAGATAAGGCTTCGTAAACACAATGATACAAACATATTAAAAACACACACACAAACATAAAAAAAAGAAAAAAAAAGTTTCCTCAAGGACCTAATTTGCAGCAAAATCCAGAAGGAAAAAAAAAAAATCAAACAAAAAAACAAACCACAATGAAAAAACAAACCAACAGAACCAAAGTCCCCAACGATTCTAGCTCACCCAATGGGTGGGTGCGATGCGCTGTGTCAATTCCTAGTGCTGGGTCCTGTTTCTCTCTCTTGGCAGCAGACAGCTATTCAGTGACCTCAAAGGCAGTGCTGGGAATGGTTACAGCCAGCCTGGGATCCCCGTCCCTCCGTGCTTGCCTAGCTATTCTGCTGGAACACAGAACCCTACAGAATATCCAGTTTAAAACCCTTGAACTACTCTTCTGCTTGACGGTTGTTTTTTTTTTTTTTTTTAAAAAAAAAAAAAAAAAAAAAAAAAAAAAAAGGTATTTTTTACATTTATTATTTATTTATTCCTTTTTTGTGTGTGTCTTAAAGGCAGCTCCCGGGAAATTCACTTTATCCTTCCTTTATTAAAAGAAAGATGCTGAATGGGACAGAGGCCACATATCTCAAACATCCTCTTCACATTTACTTTCGCATGTCAGAGGTGTCAAAACAGGGTTTATTTCTTTAAATGTGTAGGGGCTGAGGGGGGAAGTGAGAGGGGTTGGTGAAGATGAGGAGGGAATCTGAGGGGACTGAAAGAGGCGCCTTACTTCAGCCCCCCCTCACTGGTTGCCCGCAGTAACTGTCACAGGCTCTAAAAGGATCAGAAAGGGTCTCCAGGTGCCCCGTCCCCGTCCGCCGGGCGGGCACGGGAGGGGTCGGTCCTTAGCCCAAGCTGGTGATGTTGGCACGTCCGCCCGGCGGTGCCACGATGCGCTGAGTCGTGCGGCGTGGGATGTTGTCATCGATCTGTGCCCCTGCGGGAGAGAGAAGCAACGTCAGGTCCCCCCCGGGGCCAGCGAGGGTTTGAGATGAGCGAGGGGCAGGACAAGGGAGTCAGGAGGGCACCACTGCACCAAAACCCATCCAGGCTCCGACGGTGTGACCAAACTGCATCGGCTTTGAGGGAAAAGCACTCACCAGCCTCCAGTGCCTTCATTCTGCTGAAACCTGCTCTGCATTACTACCTCCACAGCCAACACCTGAGGCCCCCCAGCCCTGCACAGGTAAGAGCTGGCTAAGGGGTTTGCCCTTAGTGAGCCTTTTTTATCCTTTTTTACAGTTTTTTCTGATTGAACTGAACCAGCACGCTGAGAAACCAAACCTGCCACATCCCAGACCCACAGCTGGTCTCCGCTGGCAAAGCTCTGCTTGAAGTTGGTGCCATCTGCCCCCTCCAGACACCCAGCTGAGGTCTGAGCCTGGAACACGAGGGGGTGCTCAGCACTCACGCCACGGCACGAACGTCAGCAGGACTTTCCTCCTGCTTAAAGGGATAACCTCCAAGCTAAAAACACATCACAGTCTCTCTCACTGCCATCCAATTAATTCAGAGTACGGGAGTATAAACAAGCCGTGATTTCACAACAATTTAGCCCCATCAAAGTCCGTACCAGACAAGCTGAATCCAGACTGGTGCAGGTTCCTCACGGGTGGGGCCTGCTGTTTGGCAGGAGATGTCTTAGCTGAAGACGCCGGCGTGACGGTCTTCGGTGTCACTGACACTTCGCAGACGGGTCCGTCGTAGAGGCCTCGAGGCACGCCCCGCAGCTCAGCCAGCTGCAAAACACAGAAGCAGGCAGCCTTCAGGGCCAAAACAGCCTCCAAAACAGCACTAAACAGCTGGCCAGATGTTGCTAAACCAACAACACAGATTTCAAGATGGGTAAGAGGATCTGACAGCGTACATCATCTCCTCCGCGCTGATCCTCGCGTGGTGGCTGGTCTCCGAAGCAGCACGGATAAAATGACACGTGGTCCGGACTGCTGGGCTCTGTCTAGTTGCTAGCTGGTGTGAGCAGCCTACAGCAGACAGCCAGTCTGTCCCCTGCACCCCAAGTTCTGTCCTTTAATGAGCTCACCCTACCTGCTGTTGTATTAAGGGCTCCTGACGACTCTCAAATGAAACTTATTACTCATCCCTAAAAAGCAAAACACTGTTGAGACAGAGGCAGGTCTGCGTAAAGAGGAGCCAGGCTAGCTGCACATGGCCAGCTTGGGAGCTTTAGCTGGGGTTAAATGCAATTATTCCAGTTGAGATGCTGCCCAATTGGATTTATAGGTCAGAGACGTATTTCTGTGGGAGACCAGCACACAACAGAAACCACGGATCTGTTCTCTGCAGCGCTAAATTACTAAGGTTGTAATTTTGATAACTTGCAATTTCTTCCAAGAACAACTGAGGGAAGATCGCTTGCAGAATGTGAAGATTACCTACAGTCCGCAGAACTAATACAGCTCTGGTTTTGTCCAGGAGAGGGCGACACTTCAAACATCAAAACACTTCTCAGAAATCTGACTCCATCTAGAAATAAACTTCTTGAATTCTCAGCAACTAAGTTGCAGCTGAGTTCAGTGTCATCTTCTCCATCAGTTTTTACCAACTAATGGCATATCAAAAGGCAGTTTCTGTTTTGAATGGGTGTATTTTACAAACCATTTTCCCAACAATTTTAGCCTCTTAAAAATAGAAAACTCTCCCTTTTACACAGTCAGTAGGCTGTGCCGTGACTCACCAGTCATCAGACAAGAGCATCTGATCATATCTGACAGAAGGGAAAGCAGCCTAATGCATCTATAACAATAAATCAGAATTCCAAATTGTTGCTGAAAGGTTTGATATATAAATGCTATCCATAACTTCTCTTGGTTCTTCTGTGACAGGAGAAGCCTGCTGGGTTATGTGCAGATGGACTCCTCTCCAAACTGGACAGTTGCTGGACACCTGCTCTGTCTAGGTGTCCCAAGACAGAGAAGAATTAAAGAGCAGAAAAATAAAATTTGCAGCAAATCCAAGCTCAAGGCAAAGCATATTCCTGTAATGACTCAAGTGAATAGCAAAAATGAAAGAGGAATGAGATAAATATGGCTCCTATCCAGGGAACATTTTCTGTTGCAGAAGTGTGTGTCTGCGAGCCAGGGGACAGCATCTGTTTTCCACCCACTTTAACTCAGAAGTTTTCAGCGAGAGCACAAACGTGCATCCAACCAGCTACACTCACCCTGCTCCTTGCTTTGATGCGCTTGTAAACGAAGTCAGGGAACGGTTTCCTGGGGATATATCGTCCAGATCCCTCAGTGACATGGAGATTCCCATCCTCCAGCACGATCTTGCCCTGGCTGATAACCACCAGGGGAGACCCACGGCACTCCATGCCTTCGAAGATATTGTACTCCAGAGACTAGAACAAACAAAAAAAACAACATGAGGCAAACATATTCATCCCAGCAAAGCCTGCTGTGCTTTAATTAGCAATCACCAGTCATGCTACTTGCCAAAATTTTAAGGACAGATGGAAGCAAACTCAACAGCATTTACCTGCCTTGTATATGCCGTGGTTTAATAGAAAGGCTGGTTAGCAGTCTAAATTTATTAAGGATTTACTCATGCAAAATTTCCATTGCAACAAGAGTCATAAAGAGGAAATAACAGTTTCAAATGAGAAAGTCCACCTGTTTAAATGCATCTAGGTGCCTATCTCCGCTGAATCGTGGGGAATTTAGGAGGCAAATAAAGTTTTATCTGAGTTTCATACTAAAAATAGTGATCATTTTGAAAAGCTGCATTTCAAACCAGCATTTTGGTTGATAGATCAGGGGCCAGGACAATCTTGTTTTACTCTAATGGGATTGCTCATCCTCAATTAACAAGATTGGAAACATTACACCATGGAAAAAAAAAAACCAACCAAACAAGCTTTAAAGGAATCACTGGTAAACGTCCCACCCATGAAGCATCCTGGAATCAGATGCACAACGACCGTGTTATTTGGGGACTGTTACTCTAGTGACCATCTCTGAGACAAATCCAGGTCTTTTTTCCTGAGTTAATAATGGAGTTTGCTCTTCAAGTGTGTTATAAGTATGGGTAGGCTTGACTGCAGATTTACAATTAGCTAGAATGGCGGTTAAACCGACACTAAACCAGATCCAGCCTGAAAAAAAGTTGTGGTGGCAAAGGAGGCGGCTTGGTTAGAAGCTTATGAATTAGGCTGGTTCCAAGAAAAACACTATCTCCCCTCTCTAGCTCCTAATGTTTCCCTGCCAGACAGTGGCAAGAGCAGTGTGAATTCTTGGAAAATATCCGTATGTTGCTCTAGCATTTAAAAAAGCAGCAATCATCCGATGCCACATAATCACTGCATCTCCCCGTCTCACAGCAACCGCTCCGTCTGACTTTCAAAGGGGCTTTTGTTTTAGACTTGACTCTAAAGGCATCGCTTGTATCAGTTTCTCCTCTAACACCACGCACACGTGCAGTCGGACACAAACCAATCGCCCAGCAGGTGTAATGCCAGGTATAACACGCGACACAATGGCAGGGGAAGAGGTTAGAGCTGGACGTTGAAGGAAACAAGCTGTGATTTCTTAGCCAGCCCTTCGAGCTCTAAACAAACCACTCGAAAAGGAGAGCCCTTCATCCTCCATCGTCTTGGCACAACTTAAGAGGCAGCCTTTGGCAGTAGCTGATCACGGAGCGCTAAGGGCTCTTACACGGGGCAAGAGTTCCAGGGGGATCTGCGGTCCTTAGAGTGTAAAGAATTTCCGAACAGCTGCTCCACGGTGGATCTGGTTCTCCTTCAGCCTAGCCCAGATCTACCGCAAAATCATGGAGTCAATGCTGATTGTACCGGAGCATATCCACGAAAGATAAAAGACTCTGAGCTTTGTGTGTTCGGAAATTTAAAGAGTTCAATTCGTTTCCTAAAGACAACGGCCGTTAAGGGCTTTCAAACACTCCACCCAGCAAGCTACCTCCAGCTCCCTGAGCCATTCATAAGCACAAATCCAGGTTCAGACCATTAAAATTTGGCCCCTAACAGGGGTATGTCCCTGGGCTCCCTCCTCTAAGCCATCCCTCTCCAGACTGGAGGTGTGAAGAGTCCAGAAGCACCTCTGAGCTGACTGAAGCAGCCAGACTTCTGCGTCCAGATGCCTCTGTTAGAAGTCTAAGCAGAGGCAGGATGAATCCAGGCCATCTGTGACCAATTCTGACCCAGAGTTAAATCACAGGGAAGTGAACCAAACCTGTAAAAAATGTTCCTTTGTGAATGTGCCCAGGGATCCAAGTGTGGAAGAAAATTTTGCTCCTTCAGCTCCAGAGTGAATGAAAGCATTCACGGAAAAAAGAACAAGGAGTTGGTTTGGGGGTTTTTTTTTGTTTTTTTGTTTTTTTTTCCAGGGAAACATTCCATAGGTTCATCGCCAGCAGTGAAACAAGTTGTCAACAAATGCAAACAGTGGTTGCTTTCTCTGAGACAGCGCTCGAATGTCACAGGGAGACTCCAACCAGCCCTTTGCACTGGGACCATTCTGCAGTTTCCCACAGGGTGGGACAGCTTTTTCACTGGAGGAGCCAGGTGTAAGACACGGGCCACAGCTGTGGGCCACAGCGGTGCCTAAACAGTGCCACCACAAAGCCACAGAGAAACAAGGGGAAGGTCTGGTTAGTCTGGGTGCTGCCTTGTGCCTCCCTGTGCCACCTAACACTGGGATCATCACGGGTAAAATCATGTCTAGGTATGACCCCACACACACGTGCCAGAATAAATCCACTCAGACTCCTTGATCTGGATCAGCTCTCCAGCAAAGACGTCCACAAGCGGACAACCTTCACCGACCCCAGCTAGGAAAGGGGCAGCTCACATGCCCACTGCTAATGAGCCAGAAGGTCATAAGTGACACACTGTGGGAAGAGGCCTTTTGATATTTTAGGAGATTTAAAGAGCTTTCTGTGTGCTCAGATCCAAGCATCCAACACTCAGAAAGAGCAGACAATCTCTTTGCTCCGAGGGGAATCTCTGGGTAGTTCATGTGATTTCAGATTTGGACTCAGTCCTCTTCCCTTCTGCTCACACAGCTGAGCTGTACAGGGTGTAAGACCAGAGAGGGCTTGGGGCATGGAGAAAACAAAGCCCTGAGTTGTCATGAGCTCTAGTTCTTGGCAGCACAGTCTGGCACTGAAGGAAGAGAGGAGGAAATGAGCAGCAGAGCTCACATTGTAGAAAACATCCTTACTATGTTATGAGTTTTGGCGGAGATTGTCTTGACACTGTCAGGATCCCAGATAACCAGATCAGCATCCGAGCCCACTGCAATACGGCCCTTCCGCGGGTACAGGTTAAAGATTTTAGCCGCATTTGTGCTGGTCACAGCGACAAACTGGTTCTCATCCATCTTGCCAGTCACCTGGGGAAGAGACAAAAAGGAGTGACTGAGTGAGCCAGGTAGGGACCACTCCGAAAAGCAAATCACTGACAGCACAGCAGATTCCCAGTGATCTCTGCAGGGGCAAAAACCTCAAGTGGAAGGCTCAGAACAAGCGGCTGGGGGAGGTAACAACACCCTGCTGCAGCTCTTTCAGCTCTGAGAGTCTGGCTGCAGCCCGAGCCTATATGACGTACCACAGCCTTATCCCAGATGATGGACATCCTCTCCTCGGTCCCGTTGGTTCCCTCAGGGATCAGGGTGAAGTTGTCCTTCCCAACAGCCTTCTGGGCAGTGTTGAAGGTGCAGTGGGCACTGCCAGTAACTTGGAGGTCTCCACTGGAAAGGGCAATGAGAGGTATTTAAGATATTTTATTGTCACACACAGCCTCTTGCTTGCTGGCAACAACAGCTAACATTTTTATCAACCAACTGCCTCCTGATGAAGCATGTGTTGTCTGAACACCAAGAGCTCTACTCACCAGGACAGTAGCGAGTTGAGAAAATCAGGAGTGGTTGGGTCAGGACTCAGTGGTGGGGAAGTAACAAAAGCCGCCGCTTTAGCCCAATTCTTGCTCCAGTAATGAGATCCATCAGTACCCAAGCTGGCTGTGATGGGTTCTCCATACACCACAGTGCCTACAGGACAGGAATACAGACAAATCCACGGTGAGCACCGAGCAACATGCACCTCCAGCCTGGCTTCCAGGTGTAAAACATCCTTTTGAAAAAGGGCCAGTCCGGGAAGTCACACCAGCTCCACACACCGCAGGGTTTCTTGGTACTTCCTTGCGAGTATGTGATCACAGAGACACAACGTTGGACTGAATCCACTGGCCGGCACAACCAGATGATCAGACATCGTTGAACTCCTGACCTGATCAATGCTCCTCAAACTGTTTCACAAGCAAACTCTTAATCTGACATGTTTATCTCGAGATCTCTAAAGAAACACCCGAGTATTTTCCAAAAACAAGTCCCTCAGACTAAGTATCCTAACAACTAAATACCTGAGTTAATAACAAAGATATTGTTACTGATGAGAGCTTGGAGCAGCAAAACGGGCGTAATTGCTGAGGTTGGCACTGATTAATTGTGCTTGGGTTACTGTAGAGATTCACTGTGTTGTATCCCGGGCCAAGAACCTCATGAAAGAGGCCGAGGGGAGCTCTAAAGAGTGTGAGGAGATCCAGCCTGATCTAGAAGGGATGTGAAAGAAAAAGAATGATGAAAATAGCGCCTGCAGTATTTTTATAAATGGGTATGTATTCAAGATCTAACAAGGCTGGGTTTCTTGGAGCAGGCTCTATGCATAGATCTGGTAAGAGAAAACTCTCAGGGAAATTTCCTGCCTACAGAAAAATCCCCTCACAGAGGAAGTATCAGTGTTTCTGGTTCACAAATGCAGCTCAGGGAAAACTGAGCGATTCCCCCAAGGGTACAGGGAAAATCTGTGGCAGAACTAGGAAATGAAACTGGATCTTCTGACTCTCTGTCTAGTGCGCTAACCACCAGTGCATCCTTCCTCTTCATTAACATTTTTGGAACCACATGAAGGAACGGCGGATCCTTAAGGCCGCGATACTTTGCAAGCTGGAACGCACCAGCAACATCTGCACACCAAGCAGATGCAAGATGCTGCAACTTCAAAAGCTGGTAGCCCCACAGATCTGCTCACCAAATGCAACCTTCCCAAAATCTCCGCTAAGTGCCTAACCCTCTGCCTTCTGAGTCCAGACACTTCATGGCTTTGTATCTGCCTGCAAAAGACAAAATACTAACCCTAAATACTTCAAACAGACTGGCAAAGGCAACCCCAGAATTGGTCAGCAGGGTCTTATACACCTCGTCATGCAGAGTAAAAATAAAATATCTTGCTTTCACTGTGTTCTCTTGAGCTACTGTGATGTCCACAGGCTCGAGCTAGGTGGGAGAGCGCATCAGCTGGGGCAGAAGGATGCATTAAGTGGTTTCACGCTGCTTCCAGGACCACACTGAGACAGGAGGTGTAGGAACAGCCTTTGTCAGAGGGGATCCACCAGCGGAGGAAGAGGCCGTCTGACATCACTTGCCACAAATAGGGTTACGAAATCAGAACAAGGCAAAACACACGCTGGCTATTAATGGGAGGCCTGTTGTGGGCCAAAACATTGGGAGGATTGTTCTGCGGGGAGCGATGTTTTGAGCTCCCAGATCTGCCAACGACAAGAGTCTGCAGGGAATCTCCTCCGTAACAAATGCCACTGGGAACATCTGGCTTTAAATAACATTCGTGCTTTTTCATTTAGCAGATCAATTCTGTTTTGTTTTTCGCCTTGGATAGTCTTCAGTTATGTTTCCTCTGTTGCTTGGGAGGGCAAGACTAGTGTGTGTGGCCCTCCTGGGCTACCCAGTTGGGTGACTGCACAGCATTTATATTGAACTATTTAAATAAAGGAACAGAGAATGGCATGTCATTTATACCCCAAATTCTCCTTATAAGGAGAAAAACACAATCTGAATGAAAACTGCGTATGCCAGTTCACTCAGGCTAAGCAAAGTGAGTTCTGTGGATCATTCACCTGGGACAAGCCCAGCACCTTTCCCAGGCAGGGTAACACCTGCCCAAGTCAGGCTGTGTTTTATGACTTCTGTGATGTGAGTGCATGGTCCCTCACCCCAGCGTCCCTCTCTGCTTGCCAGCGAGTGGTCTCAGGAGATAGCGAGAAGGTATTTTAATCGATGCATCATCTCTGTGGTGCACGCCTCCAGTACTTTACCTAGAAAGAGGAAGGGATGTTTCCCCGGACTTAGAGGATTGAGTTGCACAGTGACATCAAGTTGTTTTCTGGGGTAATGCAACACGCAGCTGCTTTGCCGTGTCAACACATCTTCTCATTTCAGCATGATCTCTGCTAATGGAGCTAGGAGAGGAAGGTTTATCCCAAGCAGCTTGAGCTGCTTCCACGCCACGAACAGAAAGAGATGCCTTGGAAATTAGTCTTCCTCACCAACTCAGAACTCATTTAACAGGAATCATGGGACCAAAATACTTCTGAGCCCATACACAAACACAAATCTGTTTGCTGCGGTAGGAAATTAGCCCTTCTCACACCAAACACCCAGATGGAAAGTGATGTCATTTGTATATCCATTCAGGCTTGTTCAGACTGCATAAAAGTAAATCCAACCCTTCTGAGGAAAGAAGGGGGAAAATCATCCCTCCTGCTTACTCACCCACCCAGAGCTGCTCTAAATAGAAACGAAGGGTTTAGTCACAGAATAAAGCAGGGAGACAGGCACTCACTGTGCTTTGTAACCCATGCTTCCTGGGGCCAAAGCAGCTGGATCAGGACTGGGGAGAAGCTACTGCATCACTGAGAGCAGCACAGCTCCCCCACAGACCTCAGCTAGAGAGAAGAGACCCAAGGCAGAAGCATCCCCGGCAGGTCTGAGTCTTGCTTCTTGCAGCATCCTCAGGCAGAGTTATCACAGGCAATTGCAACTCCCAGCCTAACCCAGACTACCGATCCCAATTCCTGTTCGGATGCCAGGCTGTGAGTTACAGCACATGAGGAGTATCTATTCCACAAGCAAGGAGCACTGTGGATAGCCGGAATCAGTAACCTCTTTGGCTATTCCAACTACAGCCAGTAGGGCTTGTGAGTCAAGACCTCCGTCAGGACTCGGAATCACTTCTGAGCCCAGGGAGCAGCTCAGCAGAGAGCACCACGGAAAGACCACAGCAGCTGGAAGGAGGACACAGCTTGCAATCTCCAGGGAGATTCCTTAAGGAGGCAGCATGGAATTACTCTGCAATAACACGAACACATGGCTCGATGTGGCAGGGTGAGCATGAAGAGGCTTTAGGCTGAAAGAAAAACAGGTCCTGGCACTGGTAGAACATTGAATACTTGTCTGTGGCAGATGAGACAGAGGCAGTTGCTTGGGACCTTTTAAAAAAGAGCCTGGACAATAACACTGGAAAAAGAAACCTTTCCTGTAGGGATGAAACTTATGTTGGCAAGCAGCTGAACTGCATGAGCTAATAGGGTGCTTCCATCCAAGGGAAATAACTTACCCTTTTTCCTGGCTTGAGCAATGACATCAGCGGCACTTTTGCTCATCACCTTGGTGATATAAAGGGGGCAGTTGGTTTGGTTGGCGATGGTTATTGCCCGGTTCACAGCCTCTGCCTCCACCTGAGAAACAAAGTCAGGAGCAAGTTAGTAACATCCCATGTGTGAGCAGATCCCATTCCCCTTCAGAGCGTCACAGCCTCTGCTTTCACGGGAAAACAGGGTGTGCAGGGCCAACACGAGACTTTCCACCTCTCCGGTTCTGAGCCAGTGTAATCATGATAATTAAAGTGCCATCAAGCTGTAGTCCCTTCTCATTACTATCTTTTCTTCCAGGCTGCTTCAAAGTTTCTCTGCAAGCAGACTAAATCCTAAAATAACACTCCAGGTGCTCAAGGTCAGAATGATTAAGTCCCTTCTTTAACCTAGACCAAAAAAAAAGCAACTAAATGTTGACTCAACAAAACTATTCATGCTCCAGCCCACGCGGAAGAGATGCCGTAGCCACACACTCTGGTAAGCCACGTTTGCAAACAAGCCTCCTAAATTGTACCCTCCACTACAATATCTGGCTTGGGATCTGACAGAGCGTGAACCACCCCATAAATCAACTATTTTTTCTTGCGTGTGTAGAGAGATAACCTCAGCAAGACTGAGGGTCACTTTATAACTACAGCCTCCGCATGAACGTCATCGCTCTGCAGACTTTTAGGGATCGCACATCCTAATGAAAGCAGTCCAGATGGCAGATTTAACAGCAGGGTCATGCTCACGGTGCCTAGTGCCACGGAGAACCCCGCCTGCAATACCACAGCCACTTTCCAAGCGAACAACAGAGGACACCAACATGCAGAGCAATCAGCCACCCGATTCCCAAATGCAAGAGGCTACCAGCACCTCCCGGGGGCTCCCAGTGAGACTGGCACACGCTCAGCGCTTTTGAAAAATCTGCTCTGTGGTGATTTATCACAGGCCAAGAGCCAAAACTCATCATCAGTCGCAGAATCAGAACGCACTGACTTGCTGGTCCCTAGCACTGTGCCTGGTCCACCAAGAGAAGTACCTGAGATTAGGGACCCATCAGCTTGGGGAACTGTGTATTCACCAGAGGGATGATGTCCAGGTGCTCAGAACAGCTCTGCTCACTGACAAAGCCACCACTTGTAACGCCGCTCCGTCTGCAGCTGGGCTGCTTCAGAAAAACAACTCAACAGCTGGGAGATTTTTGAGAAGAAAAGCAGCCCCCAGACCCAGCCGGCTGGTCTCTAGTGCCAAAAGGGTTAAAGCCCTAGCCCGTCACCCCTCCGGGGCTTGTGACAAACCCTCCCAGGAGGGGTGGTGTACAGAAGGGGACATCTTCTGGCCCAGCTGCCCCATGCAAACGGAAAAGGCTGCAAGGAAGGGTGTTCATTCCAGGACCGAGCGTGCCACAGCCAGCAGCCCAGCAGGGAAGACAGAGGCTGAAGGGAAGGGCCAAGAAAATCATTCTTCTCCCTCCTGAGAGACAAGGAGAGAGAACTCAGGTGGGCCAACGCTTCCAGGCAATGGCATCAGTTTGCAAACTGCCCATTTCAAGCAGGCCTGCACACAGCTCTGCCACTGCAGCTGCTGGAAATTCACGTTCCCACCCTGTGCCTTAATTTCCCCACTTGCAAAGCGGGGCTAAACCAACAGGCACCTCCAGACTTTTGACCAAAAGGCATCTGAGCAACAGCTAAGCAGGAGGAGAGTATTTTCTACCCAGAACAAAGCTGCTGAATTCATGCCTCGTGCCCAGATGCTCTGGTGATAGGCACATAACAATAACCCAAGGACTAGTCCAAAGGGGAATGTTTGCAATTACCAGTATGCACTAGAAGCCCTAGCACAGCAGTTCTCTTGGAAAAAAAGACATGACATTTCCTGGAGCACTTGGACCGCTTGTGCTTTCAGCGTTTTTGTGGCTAAAATAAAAACAAAACAAACAAAAAAAAGATGGATTGCTCTCAAAAGTCATCATGGAATGAGCTGAGCTATGAGGGGGAAGAGTTTTCCAGAATGTGATGGGTGATGCTGACCTGGGACGGTGGTGGGTCCATTAAGGCTCCCTTTGCTGGCTGGAGCAACGTGCTGGATACCATCCCCTTGGCTCAACCCAGGTTACTGAGGTGAGAAAACTAAACCCGTGAGTCAGCAGTGAAACTTAAGCCTTAATTCATGCCTTCTGCTCAACCTGGGAATTCGGAAGATGTGTACACTCCAAGGAAAATGCAAACGCACACGGCCAGACCCTGAATGCTTCGCTCTGACGTAAGTCTCGCTGACTTCAGTGGGAGTTTTGATTTAATAAATATTGTAGACTTGTTCAACCTGCTAGTTTGCTGTAGATAGAGGTCTGAATTAAGCATCTCTGCAGTAAGATGACAACCACCATAAAGTCCTTAGGACAGGCTTTACACTCCGTTAAGGGACAGCATGAGAAGCCAATTCGAGTGTTTACCCCAGAGGGATACCAAGAAACATCCGCTCCTACTGAAGTCACCGGGAATCATGGATCTGCTGCCACCCTCAGAATCTGGCCTTCAGCATCAGCCAGCTTAAAGGGAGTTGTATGTTTTTAAAAACACAACGTTACTCCTGCGCCGGAGAAAATGAGGGGAGGGAAGCAGATGACATCGTTTCCTGCTCTGTTTCCTATGACTTTCAAGGAGGAGAATTTTGGCCCAAATGCTTCCACTCTGGGCAGACAGCACAGCTGAGCTCAGCTGCACAGAGGCTGCCCAGTGACACTGGGAACAGGCTTTACTGATCCTCAGTTTGAGGCAGCCACGTGTCCTCAGGCAGCCTCCCCTGCTACGCTGAGGAAGAACACATGTCTGCACAGATGTAACAACCCAACCACGGCAAGGAACCACACAGCTCACACTTTAAAGCTCCTGCTCCACTCAGGATGAGCTTTGAAGTAGCCAGACAAGACTTGGCTAGTTTGATGGCTAGATCCTTTAAGGTAAGGAAGAGCTTTTCTTTGAAGTCAACAAAAGTTTAGGGGTGCTCTACAGATGAGCCCCGAGTGTCATGTCAGCATCTGTTCCCACTCTCCTGATGCAAGCCAAAAAATATGTTTAAAAAAAAAATTGCAGGGGTGGGTGGGTGGAAAGCTCAGTGCAAGTGTTTGCTCACAACTTTCAGGAAGCAAAAAAATTCCAGCTCCCAGGGCCAAACACAAATTCTGTGAAGATTCACATACTGCCCAAGTTGAGCAATTTTTTTCCCCTTCTGCATGAAGCAACCGAATGATTTATATTCCTGCTGAAATGTCTCTGGATGCTGCTTGTCTGAACCAAGGGGAGGAAATAGAGAGGGAGCATGAGGGGCACGTGTGGATGATCTCACACACCCAGCTTCCAGCTCCCATATCTGGCAGTCAGCAAAGCCCCAAGATCTTGGAGGAACAAAAAGAACTGCTTGTACATAAAGGATAAGTCTTCACAAACCCAGAATGCCACGGCGAGATGTCTACCTTAGAGGTACTGAAAGACTGGAAATGAAGAATGCAATGGGAACCAGCCTGAAAAGCAAAGTTTTAAGGTTCTTTCTTGCTCTTGAGATTTATTTTAAAGACTTAAGAGAGAGTGAGAGGGATTGGGGTGCTTGACTAGAGAAATCAATGGAGAAGTATGGGCGTTAGCTATATTAACATGCTGGGCTAAGATCTGAGAATTAACTCCCCTCTCTGGCACATACCTTCTGTGCCTTTAGCAAACCACTTAGTGCCTTGGTGTAAAAAATCCACTTGTAAAAATGTCCATCAAATATCATGGTAATGGATGCTATGCAAGTGCCTGAGAGACAATGTCAGGATTTGGGCATGTATTAAAAATTTCTGTTGCTTCAGAGGAAGTCTTGACAAAATAAGGACCAAGAGAGAAGCCTAAGAGATGGGATTTAGAAAAGCCAGTGGCAGAATCCTGCCTACATAAACCCGAAGTCTTTACTCATATAAAACTCAACTGAAAGCAGTGAGAAACTACAAGAACTTCAGGGTCTAGCTCCATGAAGACCAACACCATCAATCAGAGCATGTAATCCTTCGGGGACTCCACCTTAAAGTCTTCATGTGCAGCACCCGAATCAAGGAATTGGTGATTTGGGTAGATCATGCTCTACCTGGTCAATGTTTTCCACATCTCCCGGTGTAGGATTCCAGTCTGGGCTATCAAAGGCATGAACTGAAGATAGGCTAAGTACCAACAGCTCGCTCTGTCTCCAGGGCTTATCGTGAGCTCTGCAGTTCAAACACGTCTCACCTCACTTTAGATAACTGATGCGTGAGCAGAGTCTTTATAAACCATCTCCAATAATTAACAGAAAGAGATGAGCTTTTCCAGAGGGTGAATCAAATCTTAGGCTGGATGAATTATTATTCCCTGGAGTGTCCCCTTCTCCAGTACAGAAGCTGAGGGGGCTCCTCAATTCCTTATAAGTACCCATAGCAGTCAGTCTCTAGAAGAGACTAGTTACTAGTTAGTCCCTCGAAGTGCCTTATCCTCTTCTCTTACCCCACGCAGCATATTTTTACAGCCAGGATGAAATCATGTTTCTGGCCACATTCATCCCAATATGAAGTACTTGATGGCAAAGCAGAAATGTTACAAATTGGGGGAGTAAATGCAAAGGCAGTAAAGTCCTCACCTCTTCAGGTCTGCTCAACACATGCCCTTCAGGACCTGTGATTCCCAGTTCCAGGATCCTTTGCTGCTCCTAAGGCAAAGAGAAAAAAAGCAGGAAAAAGATGTAAAGCAAGACACACTTCTTCTGGCAAGCACAGCTGTTTGACGGAGGTACAAGTAAGATCCTAGGCATCTCTGCTAGCTAATAATCACATGGGGCTTTACATCAGGGCCTTACAACCAGAGTTCTCTCCAACTTCCCTTGTTGAGAATAACCAGAGCTCACAAAACCCTTGCTGATTTGTTCACAGGAGGTCAGGGAAACCTTTTATTTTGATTTGTTTCACACTGAGTTCACAGCCCCTCGACTTTCACTCCTCATTTGTGCCCATAAAATAATCTCTAAGATGCGGCAAAACAGTATCTCATGAAAAAATCATCTGGCAGCTGGGCTCAAAGGTGCAGGTGGGCTCTTCCCCAGTCAGACAACGCAGAAATCCTCTGCAACACCACGTTTTGCATGCTTGAGGTGTAATGTATAAAATGAGCTGGAGAGCAGATTAAATCCAAATATGTTATTAACATTTCTTCTTCGTTGCTGTTTAAAGGACGAACAGATCCCGAACATCAGCACCCCAAGCACAGTATGAAACTATTACCCTTCCCACTCCTCCTGATCTGCGTTACCACAGAATATTTTATTGTACGCTGAGCTGGTCACACCCAGACAGTCTTTCACTTCGGAAGATAAAGGCAGAGATGGCCGATATTCATCACCAACTGAAAGCTGCCACCCAAACCTGCTTTATCAGTGGCAATGAAGGGGATTAAAATCCGATGCACAGCTCTGCTTGCGTCCTTGATACAGCTATGTCAGGCTTTTAAAAGTCCGGGTGATTTTGTTTGCAAAGAAGGAGTTAGAGTTTCAATCCCTCCCAGCGTTTTGAAGTTAATAACCCACAGAATAAACATGACATACCTCAGCAATGATGTCACCATTCTCAGCATGCACTTGAGCTGTCGCGCCAATATCCCGGATGACACTCAGGACCTCGTATATCTGGAAGACAGAAAACACAGATTACAACATACCCTGAGCGCACGCTCAGGTACACACCTGTTACAAAGGATACACTCCAGACTCCTTCAGCGTACAGAATTTTGCAGAAGGAGAAGCATTAAGAAATACGAGATGTGGGTTGCTGGATAGATGTGATCTGTTTTCCTGCCTGTAACTGAATTTCCCAACCTGTACAGCTGGATGCTGCTGAGAGGGCACAGCAGCACTATTCAATAGCCAGGCTGCGTATATTTACCACACTGGAGGAAGAAACAGCAACTGCACAGCCCTACATCTGGAGTGATTTTATGGATTGATTATTTTTATTTAATGAGCTCACAGAGTTGTACCTGTTTCGTGCCTTTATCTACTGGTGCCTGGCATTAAAAAAACCCATTTTATTTTCACAGAGAACCCATCCCCATCCCTCTCACTGCCTGGGACAGGAGCAGTGTGATTTCCCCACCTCCAGCAACCACTCCGAGAGGGCTCAGGTTGAGTTAACCCACAGCTGACACTGGCTCCATCAATGGTCACTCATTAAAATGCTTACCAGAGTCATTAGAGAGAACTGTCATACACCACTGCCTCCCACACTGTTCCAAATGACTCCCAGGCATTCCTCTCCTCCCACCACGTTTAGAAATATAAACTGCCCATCTCAACAATTAAATGTACCCAAACGTATCCACCAGAATAGCAAACAGGATTTTTAAGGTCCCAGCAATTCGAACACTGAAGCCAGAAAGCCACTTCTGAGCCAGGATCAGTTTCAGCTTCTAAACACACGGCGCAGTTACGCCAGAGCTCGCGCTGTCCTGCCCCACGCCTGGGCATGAAGCAGCAATTTATAAAATTGCCCCTGCTTCCACACCAAAGGAGCTGGAATAAAACCTTAGATCTCTCAAAATGAGGGTTTTGCCATTGCTTTGCCCAGCCAAGCCTTTCAGGGTTTGTTGTTGGTTGGGTGGTTTTGGTTTTTGTTTTTTTTTTAATTAAAAAAATAATCTTCAAACCAGAGCTCTGGGTACTGTTGCAGTTCTTAGGTACTGTTACTCATAGAGAGATCGAAACCAGAAGAGAATGTCAGATCCCAGTGCACTGAATTGAAATCCTTCTATGTGACTAATGCACAGCTTGCAGCGACAGAAGCACGTGAACATTAAGCCTTCCTACCTGAGAATCAGTTAGCTGAAAGCGATCTTTGAAAGCCATGTAAACCAAGAAGGAGTTCACACCTGGTAGAAAGAGAGCAAAGAAATTACATCTGACATACAAATTGCAGGCACAAAGCCACGAAACACATCGTTTGTCATAGAGAGGAGACGTCCCACTCAATGAGCCCCCCCCCAGCCAGCGGTGGCGATGGGCAGACATATAAATGACTGGAATCTACTGTGAGATGTGTGCACACAGACACACGCACTCTCAGCAGATCACAGTACAACCAAGATCCGCCAAGTTAAAAAAATAGAAGCAAAATGCATCCCAGACAAAAGCAGAGACTGGGCCTGGCTGCCTGATCCCCCACTCCCGGGGAAATCTGTCTGTCAGCGCGTCCTCCTGCACTGTGGTCGTACTGACCAGGGCACAGGGAGTGCTCCGAAGTCAGATTTACCTCTCTCACCTTCTGAGCCAGCAAAAGTGTGGGAAAGCACTCATTAGGATGTAAGAGGCTGGGGTTTTTTTAAACTACAAACAGGATGGAAAATTACTCTAGCCCAAGGCTGAAATGTCAAGGAAATTAAAGAGGGGAAAAACCTATGAGGTCATTTTATTCGGCTCTTCTCCACTTTTAGCAAAGTGCTGGATTGTTCCTTCTGGGCCTAATTCTTGCCTTGTTTACAACAGTTTAAGGGCTGAAGCTGTCACCTACTGCACTAATGAAAACCAAAGGTGCTCCTCTCCATGGCGGCAGGAAGAGATCCACCTCTGCAAAGTCACTGCTCAGCCACCTAACGCTGCAGCGACACCAGCGTGAACCATGTCCCGGAGCCCTCTACAACAGCGACACCCCAAACCTTCACAAGAAGCCAGAACGGGCCAAGGTGATGTCAGGGCCCAGAACAGCTTTACTGGGATACAAGAGTCAAATAGTTCGCAAGGGCCAGTCCTAAAAAATAAGGGAACCGGTCCTGAAAAATAAGAAGGGGAAAGGCTTCCCTGAACTTTTAAGAACTGCACTTACCATGATCTTTAACCAGAGCTTCCATCTCCTCCTGAACACCTTTATGCCACTCGGTGATATCCACATGCAGAGAGTAGTCACAGCAGGATTTGCTGTCTGCCCATTCTCGCCACTGGTCGAACGCAGTCAGCAAACTGGTCCCTGGCTCAGGAACCACATGATCAACTGGGAAAGACAACCAAAGCACTGGTAAATGGCTGGTACAATAACCTCCCTGGATGCCCAAGACATAAAACATGCCTTGCAGATGCTGCCGCAAAACCAAGACAGCCCCTTCCCCTTAAAATATGAAGAACCTGGTTTCTAAACCCCTACATCTGAGAATGCTGCCAGGAAGCTGATTATGGAGCAGAAGCTGAAGGAAATAGTTTAAATACTACAGCCCGTTTACTCCAATTGTTTGTGAATAGAGTAAATGGAACTCCCAGGGCAGCAAACACAAACCACCGCGGAGAGCTCTATAAATACTGCTCCCCTCTTTGGTGACAAACAAACAATGACATGGGCAACATCCCCTGAGAGCATCAGTCAGCAGCTTGCAGTACTCAGCACCTCAGGTTCAAGCAGTGTCTCCGTCTGTGCCTCTGCACATGCTAGAAAAGGTGTCCAGAGAGCAGAAAGATGGATTACTGCTACGCAGCGACAACCAAGGACTCCCCACACGGATCCGAGCTGCTTTGGGCGCCTCATCCCAACCGGGAGCACCTTCCAGAGACAGCATACAAGGGAGGACTGGAAGAAGCAGGACCAACAGTCTGGAGAGACACCCCCTGAGGACAAGACAGTGCTGCTTGCCTCTGGCATTGCTCGGGCTGATCCTCGTTCCAGCCTAACACATTAGGTCCAGCAGCAACTGGGTTCAGCAGTAGCTACAGAATACTCCACCAGTGCTACAGATGCGCAACAGCCTCAAAGGGTAACAAAAGAGATTTGGATCTGAAGGTTTAGTGTTCCTCACAGTAATCTGAATAGCATTCAAACTTTTATTTGGGTGCACGGGATCTCTAAGATCTTCACTAGATGCAGTGAAATAAAAGAAGCAAGCCAGCATCTCAGAAACTGAACTGCTGCTGAGAGTAGGAAAAGCCTGCGGGACTTCAGGGGTCACAAACTGGTCAGGCACTGTTGGGGAGGAGGAGAGAGCCCTGGCTTGATTTTACATCAAATCAAACAAAAAAATAAAAAGTTGCTTCAATTATCAGCAGAGAAAATCAAGCAGTTTTATTTTTAGCTTTACTGTGAATATCTGGGCTGCCATCAGCTCAGCAGTTAGCTCTAAATCACATCTGGGATAAGAGACAAAGTCCTTGGGCCCTACTCACTCTCAGTGAAGTACTAAGCTTTGCTTCGCCCCCACACAGACACATCAGCCTAGATTTACTGGTCTTGCACCGCCTTAAGAACTGGATTTACCCCGGGAGCTCTCAACGCCCTGTAAAAACACTAGAGCTCTCCTGAACGACCCACACGCCTCAGCCACCCAAGTCGGGAACGACGTCTCCAACGTTTGAGATGCGCAAACACTGCAGAAAGTCAAGATCACCCAAAACAACCATCCTTCCCGCCAAGCTCTGCCCAAGGTGACTGCATGAGAGCGAGCAAAACGGCGGTTAAAATATTTGTGCTTCTCCAAAAGGCTTGTGTTTGCCCCTCCAAGTATCACGCTAGCCTGCAAAGGGAAGGGTGTGATGTGCAGGTCTTTGCTGATGCACGGGCAAAACAGCTTTGATCTGCAGTGGTTTCAGGGTTCAGGAGTGGCTGGTGGCCTTCCTCTGCCTCAGACAGCAGTGTCCTGCCCAGCAGAGAAATCCATGCTCTGAGCAAAAGCTCTGAAATTTGCCAGGCGACTGGCATCAGATCAAGGATGTGCTTTTCACCACCCTGGGGAAAAGCAACCCAAATTTAACCAGACAATAAACTGTCTTTTTTTTTTAAAAAAAAAAAAAAAAATCATCCCATTTCTACGCCATGATCTCCTCCTCCCCAGTGGTCTGAAACCTTCCAGACTGAATTGTTTCTTGGCCAGTATGTAGCCCCTTGTCACTCTGCCAAAGTTAATCTTTAGCTTAAGTAGTATGAACAACAAGGGGAAAAGTAACAGTCTCTCTGCGTTACCAGTGGGATACAGGGAAAACCCAGGTTTTCACAAATGGCAACTGCCTTAACACAAGAGCTGTCCTCTTCAGCCCGCTAATTAAAAAGCCCATTTAATCTCTAACACCTCACAGTCATAAGTCCATCTCTACTTAAGATGAAAGGTGCTCTAAGAGCTCTATCAGCCCCAAGAAGATACATGGCTTATGGACATTAAGAAATTCTGCCTGGAGGCACCAAGGGGTTAACACAGTGGAGTCTTCACAGCCCAGCACGGAGCCCCTAGGAATGACTCTGGTGTCTAGGATCAGAGCTTTATCACCATCTTATTTCATGCGCTGCCCAAGTATGACTAATGGGAGTTTGGGGAGGGAGTGGGAGAAGGGCTAAGGGAGCTCCATCAGATCTTTGACAAAGTCAAACCACAGCTGGTTACAATAAGGATAAGGGATGGAGGTAGTGGTGCATATGTGCATGAAAGTCAGCTCTGGGGATTAGGAATATCTTATATGGAAGCTGCACTGCCGACACATCTCATAGCAGCTCCCTGGAGCTCACCGATAGCCAAATCACCCATCATCCCCATCAAAACAGAGCACAGTTTGTTTCCATAGCAGCTTTCTGCCAGGCAGATATTACTGACCAACCATTGCGTTATATTCCCACGGAAGAAGTCAGCGAGGAGGCCTGAATGTGCAAGGTAAGCCAACAGCCTTCAGAAGCCTGCGGTTTAACTAGTCCAAAGAGCCTCGGGGGGAAGGAGCAATGTGACAGAGCACAGCGTGGGACAGTCACGGGGACAGGGACATCCCCGGACAGGGGTCCGAGTGCTGGAGGGCAGCTGGAGCTGCTCAGTGGCTGCGCCTGGCACAGGGCACCCTGGAGCAGGAGGGAGCTGTGCTGCCGCAAGTGAGGCAGCAGAAGTGGTAGGTGCTGCACGTAAGCCATGAGGAAGGTGGATGTAACCCGATGTGCTAATCCAGAGGTAATTCAGACACGAATGCAAATGCCTCTGCCATTCCATCATCCCTTGATGCAATGGAAGGGGCCAACTATATTGCAGACTCATGGTCTACATCCCTCCTACATCCCTGCATGCTAGGGTCGGGGTTTTGGGGAGCCCAAGTAAGAATGAGCCTAGATCCTTTAAAGGAGAAGAGTTAAGATTGATTCTCTGACTGCTGTTAAAAGAACTGAGCGTTGCAACTACTTCTGCCTGTTGGTATGAACAGGAATCACCCACATGCAGCTCAGAGGAAGTTCTCCTTCTCGCCCTCAGGCACAGCTCAAGAGTAATAAACAAAAAGCTTTTTCTGTAAGGTTCCTGTGCTTCAGAGCAGTACAAAGCCGCTGATGAAAGCTCCATCCGCCGCATTCCCACAGCCCCAGGATCCCAAGCTGACCCCTGGGTACGATCCACCACAGGACCATGGACACAAGGTCTTCTGACCCACCGGAGCAGGCAGCAAACCCAGCCGCGGAGATCACCCCGGAGGTTTCCCATGTGAAAAGCAGCGTGCTGTCCTGACCTCACTGAACCACTTCTCTCTAGGGAACCCAACAGCTTACTGCCTCATCTTTTGTTTCTTCATCTCAGAAACCAGGAATGTTCAATTCCTGCGGCCGCCGGAGCGGCCTCACGTCTGCAGGATGCACTCAAGGCAAACTGTTGCAACGCGGACTGTTGTCACCCCTTTATTCTCTAGACCACTACAGCCTTGATCTCTTCGTGCTTCCAAGCCCAGATGTTTTCTTCCTGTTGCTGATTATTGCTGTGCAAATGATGTCAGCTGCTGAGGCCTGAAAAGGAAGCTGCCAGCTCAATTTAAGCTCAAAGCTTGCTCCAAAAGCAGAAAACACAATGAAGTAAAAAAAGAGAAAAGGAAAAGATCAAGTAAGTATCACTTCATCAGTACTAAAACCTTCAAAGGAGGAGTGAAATAGCTTGCGGTCCTTGTAGTGGCTCCCTGAATCAGAGTGAATTTCGGGCCTAATCTAAATGTTTCTCTTTACGTAACATACACTCTCAGCAAGTTACATGGCAAAGCCAAGGTTAGGATTACAGTGGTTTCTCAGCTATGAATAGAAAACATTCCATAGATTTATCTTTTAACCTTCTGAAATGCAGAATCCAAAACGCAACAGACTGCGGCTTCAAAGCAAGCAAGCCTGTTTACATCAGCAAGGGATCTGCTTTGGAAGAAAAAAAAAAAAAAAGAAAAAAGGATTTTGTGTTTTACAAATCATCTCATTTTTCCCTGGCTAAAATATGGAGGAGATTCCAAAATTACTGGATAGTCTGTTTCCTGATAGGGCGTTCACCCCCCTTTGGAAGGCAGTGGGACCTGAGGACCTGCGTACCCAGTGTGCCGTGATTGCTCCAGCCACAATCACTAAGACTTTTAATTACCTCTCTGATGGGCCTGGCTTTGCTCTCCCATCATTACACAGGGTTTCACTTTGTGCACAAAGGTGCATCTGCTCTTCCTTCCAAGTACGTCAGCTCCCA